CCTTCCTTCCTTCCTTCCTTCCTTCCTTCCTTCCTTCCTTCCTTCCTCCCAGACTTTGGAAATGCCAAAGGAAATGAAAATGTTTTCCTGCAAGCCATGAGTATCGTGTGGTTCCGCTATCACAACCACTGGGCAGAAAATCTGGCCAAGCAGAACACAAGCTGGTCAGATGAGGATTTATTCCAACATGCACGCAAGAGAGTCATTGCAATTTACCAGGTAGGTGAAGTCTGGAAGAGACAGAAAAAAACAGGAAATCATATTCATTTCCTTTGACACTGTTTCATTATCTTCTCATTGTTCTCCTAGAATATCGTGTTTTATGAGTGGCTGCCAAACGTTTTGGAGAAGACAAGCATGAAACGTTATGAAGGTGAGGGACATCAACAGAACAGAATAGACGTCAAATGGAAAAGGACAAGAGATTTTCAGTGGCTGCATACTGGAGAAGGAAGATAAAGGGAGTTCTTGTGGGTCTAAAGAGCTGCCTTAGCCACATTTCTCTCGATTTTATAATTTTATGTAGAGAAGGCTGGAATCCATTATCATTTTCCAGCCTATCTGTATTGGCTTTAGAGAGGAATGCTAAATTGCATTTGCATTCTAAGTTCTTCCATTTAAAACTCAAAATATCACAGGGAATTTCAAGGCCCTCCCTTCTCTACATCATCTCAGCTTCAGTAAAATCCAGTAAAAAGCCCACATTGCATATTGGACATCAATACAATCCAGAGAGTCCAGGGATACTTCACGAGAAGGGTCCTCCGCTCCCCTTCTAGCAACAGAATAACTTGTACCACCAGACTTGAAATTTTAGGCTTAGATAACTTAGAACTACACTGCCTTCCATCCAACTTAAGCATAGTACATAACATTATCCATTGCGATGTCCTACCCGTCAATGACTACTTCAGCTTCGATCACAACAATACCCAAGCACACAATAGATACAAACTCAAAGTAAACCGTACCAAATTCGATTGCAGGAAATACGACTTCAGCAACAGAGTGGTCAATGTCTGGAATACTCTACCTGACTCTGTGGTTTCTTCCCCAAACCCCCAAAACTTTAACCTTAGACTGTCTACTGTTGACCTCACCCCATTCCTAAAAGGTCTAAAGGGGCGTGCATAAGCGCACCAATGTGCCTACCGTCCCTGTCCTAATGTTTCCTTTTATTCTTATCCATTTCATGTATTAATAATCATGCTTATACTTATAATTGTTATCTAATACATGCACAACAAATAATAAATAAATAAAATCCTTCTGTGAAATACCTCTTGTCATCTGTTGCATTACTCTCTGTGTTGTAGGTTACAAGCAGCATGTCGATTCTCGGATCTCTCCAGAATTCCTTGTGGCTTCTGCACTCTTCCTTGGCACTAAAGTCCCATCTGGGGTCTATATGAGGTAAAAAGAAAAAAAGCAGGGTTTAAAAATATAATGAAGCCAGTATTAAATATGCCTAGAATTGCAGTATTTAAGAGGAAGGAAGGGAGGGAGGGAAGGAGGGAGGGAGGGAGGGAGGGAGGGAGGGAGGGAGGGAGGGAAGGAAGGAAGGAAGGAAGGAAGGAAGGAAGGAAGGAAGGAAGGAAGGAATCCAGGCAAATTGTGTCTAGCATAGCAGCTCAAGATAGAAGATCTGTTGGTTGCAGGGCAGAGAACGGCAACACCACGAAAGCTGCAAATTAGCTATTTTTTCTCTCTCCAGCAAATAATATGGCTGGGTTCACGCAATGAGGTATCCAACATGATTTGTTTAGTTCTCACTTAAAGTATTGTTGGAATCTGACCATTTGAATTCACAATGTGTCAAACCAGCAAACTATGGATTATTCAACCAAACATGGTGAACCAATGTAAGCTAAGAACTCAACCGGATCAACAAATATCCCAGCTGCATCTTGGAAAATCCAAGTGTTGGGTAGCATGTCAATAGGCTGCCTTTACCAATGGAGCATTATCTATCCCATGCAACATCTGCCCAGTTGTCTCTTCCCTTTTTGCTTTCGTTTGCCAACAGGGGTTCCATGCATTCTACTGGTCCACCGCAGAGAACCCTAATCTCATTTATTTTTTAAAAATATTCTTTTTAGGGATTCAAATTGTTCTTTCCGAAACGTGACTGATGTAGATGGACATTCCTCTCCAGCCCTCCGCCTATGCAACAACTACTGGAGTCGGCAGGTACGGAGCTTCAGAGCAACTAAACATATATTTCTAGTTGAAGGCACTGGGGAGATGGGGGATTGCAAGAAAATGTCTTGAGGATGTGGCTTCATGGTGAAATATCAGGGGTGGGCTCCTGGGGTCTCGCAGAGCCCCTAGCTAAGACTCTACGGGGCTCGGAGAGCCCCCAATAGCCTCAGAAAGAGAAGCAACAAGGGAAAGCTCTTAATAGGCTTAATTGAACTTCTGGGCATTCAGCCAAGAGCATTTCACACCTAGTCAAAGTGTTGCAAGCTAGATAAACAACCCACTCAGCGCTTGCAAGGAACAGCCATTGAGAAAATCCCATAACATAGCCACTAGCCTCCGAGGGGATTAATTCCCAAATAATAAGAATCACGTAACTCACCAGAAGCTCCTCTAAGACTCCAAGATCCTTCCCACAGTCATTGCTATTAAGCCTGGTTTCACCCAGTCTTTTATTTACGCATTAAATGCACGAAATAATAAACAACTTTTTGGTATATATCTTTTTTTAGGTAATTAGGGCAAAGAAGCAATGTTGAGTTGGCCACACCCACCCAGTCACATGAGCACCTAGCCATGCCCACCCGATCACATGCCCACCCGATCACATGACCACCTGATCACATGACCACCCAGCCAGTCATTAGGGCAGAGAGCCCTTGCTAAAAAATTTGAAGCCCACCCCTGTGAAATAGTCATGTTGTGTGAAAAAAAATATAATTCAAAGTGTAATTGAGTAGAGCACTTGGGTTGCATGCAACAATCCCATGTTTCAATCTTCAGCATCTCCAGGTAGATCTGAGTAGATCACCTGCCAAAAGTCCTGGACAGCCTTCATCAATATAGAAAGTATTAGAATAGGTTATTAAATGTCCTGCTTCATTGCAAGACACCTTGTATCTATAAGTCAGCTGGTGATTTTACAAAAGTTGGGACTGGATTGGATTTAGTGCACCTTTGAACTAAGCAGGTAAACTTTGCAATCACCTTGTAGCTCATGCTAAGTGTTTTCTCTCTTGGTCAGAATCCTAACCTCCAGACAGCTGAAGACGTAGATGATCTTCTTCTGGGAATGAGTTCTCAAATCACCAAGCACGAAGACAACATTGTGGTCGAAGATCTCCGAGGTAGATCTTTTCATCCATTTATTGGCTCTCTCTTTTGACAGCTCTCCCCAAAATTGCAGGTTTCATTCCTTTGGCAAAGCTAAGGGTGGGAAAAGGTACTGTAGCCTTAATTTTGGGGGGTGAACTTTCTTTGCTTCCTGCTTTGGGGGGGGGATTTTCAGTTAATTGTTGCTCTTAAGCAAGGGTGGGATTCAAATTTCTTAACAACCGGTTCTGTGGTCATGGCCTAATTTGTGGGCATGGCTTAGTGGTCATGTGACTGGGTGGGCATGGCTTGCTGACTGGGTGTGGCTTGGTGGTCACGTGACTGGCTGGGTGTGGCTTGTATGTAAATATTGTAGATAAATATTTATTTTTTTATTTAAAAAAGAGCAACTTTTACCCCCAAAACAGGCAAAGCAGGCAGGCAGATTGAGTTGCTCACAGAATCACAGATTCACTTAGAGATCTATCTATCTGCAATCTGCTACCTGAGTCTCCACTGAAAAATAGAAGCTTCGGTCCTAAGGAAGGTTCAGTTCTGCTTTTAGATTAGTTAAAAATCAAGAAATCCTAAGATTTCCTGCTTTCTGGCTAATCTAAATCTCCCGGCACAGCAGAACAGCTGATGGTTGGGAGGGGAAAAAAAGGAAAAATAGCAAATTAGGAGTCAAGTTTGATGGCGCGCATGCCAGGTAAGGAGTGAGTGGGTGGGGAGGGGTGGGGTGGGGCCAGCCAGTGGTGCAATTTGCCGGTTCTCCAAACTGGGTAAAATCATAACAAGCAGTTCTATTGAACTGGTCTGACCAGGTAAAATCTCACCCTTGCCCTTATATATCATGATTCCTTTGTTGCTTATGTGAACATCCTTCCATTTTGCTCCATTATGGATGTTCTGTCTTGTTCTTCTTAAGATTACTGGTATGGGACAGTGAAGTTCTCCCGAATGGATTTCGTGGCGAGTTGGATCCAGCGAGGAAGAGATATTGGACTATCTACCTATAACAAAGTCAGAGAGTTCTTTGGACTTCCGCCTGCTAAGAAATGGACAGATATTAACCAGAAGAATCAAACGGTACTGTGTCACGGGAGCTAAAATGGACATGAGATGGGATGGAAGGCAGACAGAAAACAAGCAGCATCTTGTCCATTGGTAGCAAGTTTACTATAACTTCCCTTTAAAGCTTAAACAAATGTGGAAGTTCAAAAGGAGAATATTTATTTTACAAATGAGAACAATGCTTGACGTTAGTCTGAGCTCTGTGTAGCATCCGCCACTCCACATAGGGAAAAAAAAATGCCTATTGTGCTACTGCATGTTGATCATTAAACCAATTGTGGGAAGACGGTGATACACAATTGATATATCATCCCAGAAGAGAATATTTGTGGGTTGAGCTGTATGGTCCTTGCTGCTCTCTGAGCTTGGTGGCTTTCTTGACATTTGAATACCCACCTAGGTAATGTCATAGCACTGATGATATTACCTAGTTGGGTAATGAAATGTCTGGCAGAAATCCGCCAAGCTCAGAGAGCAGCAAGAACCCCCACAATGGACATAGGAAAAACTTTGACCTAACACCACATATATCTTGATCCTTTTTCATCCCTCTTCAGTTTCGCTCAGTCTCCTCCTATTTTGAGCTCAGGCACATGCATTTATAACTCTTGAACTGATGAAACTCTTCCAATTGATACAGACTTCAGTATAAAAGAGTTCTCACTCTTATTTAGAATAGAATAGAATAGAATAGAATAGAATAGAATAGAATAGAATAGAATAGAATAGAATAGAATAGAAT